TTTATTGTAGTGGTTTGGATTGTCACACATACATTTCCTTCTCTTGAATTCAATTGATATAGTTTATTGTAGGGTTTTGGATTGTCACAAACATTTTCTTCTTCCCATCTCCACTTAGTGCAATGCAGATTATGGTAGAGATCGTTGAGCAGTATCATGAGCGTGGCATCGTCGTGGTCTTCAGTCGTCTGAGAGAAACCGCGGCAGTAAGTGAACTTCAACCATCCGTGTGTTCCATATATATATATATATATATTTGTTTATATATATGTTTATATATGTTTATATATATATATATATGTGTGTGTGTGTGTGTGTGTTTACATATTGATATTATATATATATATATATAAGATCTAGTTTCTGAAATTATATCATGTATATCTAGTTCATGTATATTTAGTTCATCTTTGGTTAATTTTGTAAACCGATTTCAAACTGTCGTATATAATCCGAATACCACCTGCAGCGGATATTGTGCCAGTCATAGTACACCTGGTAGGTACAGACCACATGTCCGAAAACCCGAAACATCGTCTCCCTTTAGTGTGAAACTAATTCATATCATGAAATTATTTCGAAAATCGCCTGCAGCGGATCTTCTACCAATCGGGTATAGTAGATCTGGTAGGTAAAGACCACATGTTCGAGAAGCTCGTAGACGCTGTTGATGCTTTGGAACGGGGCAATAAGAGCCCAGATTCCGTATCAGGACAGTCCAGTGTGCAGATTACATTCGATGACGACTTTGCGAAGGCGTCTACTACGGTTAGACCCGAGTCAGCCCTGTAAGTATTAAGTTTGCAAGCGTAGTGTGTATATGTGTTTATGTTTGCATGTTGTCTTTAAATATATGTAACTACATATTTATATATATATATATATATATATATACATATATATATATATATATATATGTATATATATATATGTGTGTGTATATATGTATATATATAATATGTATACTATTTATATATATATTTATATTTATATATATATATATATATATATATTTGTGTATATATGTATATATATATATATATATGTATATGTATGTATGGGCAACTGAATACATGTAGAGGTATCTCTCATTCACTGTTCAGATTACGTTCGATGACAACTGTGTGATGGCGACTACTACACTCCTCCTAGTCTGTCATGTCGCGTCTTGTCAATGTATGATGAATTTATACGTACGTAAACATATATGTGCATATGTATACGTGTGCAACCCTGTTCGTGTGTAGAGCTCATTCGTTAACGTCGTGGTGTAGACGGCTACTACTTAAATGGTGAGTGCGTCATGAACGTAAGTTAGACGACCACGTGTAAGTTACTAAATTAGTGACGTAGCGTGAGGCATTTGCCTTGCCACACACTTGCTATATATTTTAACTATATGAGTTTGAACCATTAACCGTCCTGGTAGTACATAGTACATACACACAAAAACAGTATAACCATCTGCATCAGTGAAGTTTGAATGCACACGTGGTTAGGGTACTACTATATACAGGCAAATATACAACATGCAGATGTCGTATCTGACAATGGTGTGGAAACTCATGCGCGCTCGTTTCTTTGTACTACAGGTCAAAGCAGAACGTCAGTACTTATACATTACGGAGTGACGCCCCGTCTGATCCCAGGATACCACCGCTGTCACCTACCATAACAGATATACAAGAACAGACTGCTTCACTGGATAGCGTAGATGATTAAGCACGTGTTTATGTTTATGTATATATATGTATACATATACATATATATATATATATATATATATACATATACATATACATATACGTATATATATATATATGTGTGTGTGTGTGTGTGTGTGTGTGTGTGTGTACATATATATATTTGTACATACATGTATATACATATATGTGTGTGTGTTTATATATATATACATATATTCTTATATGCACTTATAGATAAGCATATCATACCAGGGCAACCCGCATCTGTCGACAATTGGCAGATGGACACCGTGGCCGATTGAGTACGTCCTTCATAACCAGAACAAACAAAAGTCTAGGAATGCGTAAATACGTGCGACACGCAATACGTAACCACGTGTATATACGTCTACAGCTGGAATATCTGTGTACCAGGAAAAACGTAACTACGCGAATATTTCCATAGCTGGAGATATTGGTGTACATACGAATACGTATACTCTACGCACAGATGCGGCTGTCGAGCCATTCGAAGGCACAGTTTAACTAAGAGCTCCCGGGCAATATTCGGACGGCCAGAGACTCACTTGTAAACGCCTGAACGAATGCTACACTTGCTCAGTGACAAGGAGGCGAGGACACGAGACCGTACGTTCATATATATGTATATATATATATATTATTATAATAATATATATGTAGAGAAACGGTCTACGCTTAGTTTTGTATATATCGAGAATGGGATATTTAGTGTAATGGTATACTAGTCGTGTGCAACCTGAACAGTGGGTATGGGTAGTTGCATGAAAACGTGCGCAATTCGGATGTACCCCAAAGGAGACCACAAACGAACACAATTTAGAAACACTAATTTTTGTTGCCATCCAGGGGTGTTAAAAGCGCAAAAATAGGCGGAATAAAAAAACTATGTCAATTTTCGGCATACCTTTCTCTGTGTACTGTCATGATATTCGTATATGAAGGAAGCGGATTTCCATAGATATGTGTCTGTATATATATATAAATGTATATATATATATGTATATA